ACATAGCCATTACGCTAACTGCTGGTCCCTTGTGTGATGTATTTGGGAAGGTCACAGAAGCGGTGTGCCTTCTCAATGCACTGGATCAGGAGGTGCGTGATGCCTGGTTTTCCATTATGCAGTTATGAATTTCAAAGCAAAAGTACTATCTTTTGAGAAAACACTTCAAGGTAATATGAATATCCTTTTTCTTTTTAAATAATTATTTTTATCTTATCTTTATTTTATTTTAATTTGACCATAGAGGAACAGAGTGAGAGAGAGGGAAAGTGAGAAAGCAAGCTGCCAGGTCCAGGACTTGAACCATGGTTGGCCATGTGGGAATCCAGTGCCTCAACCACCACGCCACCTGACAGCCCCTAAATATCCTTTATTTCATCATACATTTTCCTTTTATAAATTTGCCAAAGGGAGCATGCGCTCGCCAGAGAGAGACGAAGAGGGAGAAAGCTCTCGCTCGCTGGGCAGAGTCATGCCACAATCTCTTGGAGAGGTTTTTGTGCTATAGGGCGCGTGCGCTCACCAGACAGATAGAGAGAGACAAGAGACAGAAAGCGAGAAATCACCCCCCATTGGGAATGGTCACGCTGCAGTCCCTTCTCCTCCATTCTCCTCTCGGGACTTGGGCACGCACGCACACGCGCCCGGCGTGAGTTTTAAGCCACCGGGTCCGGGACGCGAACCGCAGTCGGCTACATCGGCTACATGGGAGTCCAGCAACAGTTACACTACCTGCGGGTTCCCATGCCACAATCTCTTCTCCTGCATCTCTCCATCCTGTTGGGACTTGGGGAACACGTGGCTGGTCTGTTTTTCAAGCCTCCAGGGCTGGGATTCAAACTACTTGGTTGACCATGTGGAATCTGGCTCCCTTAACCACTAGACTACAGGGCTGGCCTTCATCATATTTTCATCCACTCAGTGATGGTGTTGAAAATCACGCCAGGCATGTGTATGTGCATGCCCAACATCCTGGGAGGAGAATGGAGAAGCGATTGTGGCAGGCCTTCCCCCCGGGGGTGATCTCTCATTCCTCCCTGCTCTCCACACCCTCTCTCTGACAGCACAAGTAGCCTATAACGAACTGAGAAAAAAATGAAGTGCCTTACAAAGATTATTCCTTGTCCTCTCTTTTTTTTACTCTTTAAAAGAATTACTTCCTTTCTTTTATTTATCATTATTGTTATTTTCAATTTGATCAGAGCAAGACACAAAGTTAGAAAGCAAGAAAGCAAGCTGACAAGTCTAGGGCTCGAACCGTGGCTAGCCATGTAGGAGTCCAGCGCCCCTAACCTCCATGCCACCTGCCGGCCCCAGCCCTTGTTCTCTCTTAGACAGCAAATGAAGTCACACGCTCTCCATTTCTTTTATTAAATTACTGAGCAGCCCTGGGCCCCCCGACCTTTGTGAGTGCGGGGTCTCATACCTGTTGCGTGTGGGGTCACGGCTTTGTGGCAGTCACATTCCAGACTCTGTGTGAGCCCTCAGCCCTGTACCCCACGCAGACAGATCTGTTTAGGTTCTTGGTGCCGATTCACACAGACGTGTTTGTCCTCGTACCGTGGTGTGAGTAGTTGACTTGCAAATATTTTCTCAAAAACTATGTAGAACCATATTGTCTCTGTGGTTATAGAGTCTCTAACACATATTTTGAAAGTTATCTTTAAAATTCAGTGTTTTGAAATTTTGAAAGTTGGTCATTAACTGTCAAGAACTATGGGGCATGAGCAATAAAAATTTTTTTTGATATGTAAAGAAAATGTTTGTGGGAAAATGTGAAAATAAGTAAATAAATCATTAAACAAAACAAAACAAAACAACTTTCTGGCCCTGCTAAGGCGGATGACCCCAGTGAATACCACCTAAAGTGGAAGACTACCTGCCAAGCCCTGTCCAAATTCCTGGCCCACAGATCCCTGAACCAATGAGTAGTTAGCTATCGTAAGCCACTGTCTTATTTTTTTTTAAAGAAACTTTTAACTTTATTTATTTATTTTTACTTGACCCACGAGGGACAGAGAGAGAGTGAGAGAGATGAGACAGCTGCCAGGTCCAGGACTTGAACCGGGGTTGAGCATGTGGGAGTCCAGGACCCTTAATACCTGCCAGCCCCTGTAAGCCATTCATCTTGGGGAGCATTTGTTACCTCTCAGTCTGTAACTCCAGCATGTACTTATGGCACAGATATATTTTCACTGCAGGGTTAGAATGCCACTCTAGACTTCGTTGAAGGAAGTATGTATTATGTGGTATATACAGATGTATTCTTCTAAAGTAAAAAAAAAAAGTGTGTAGGGGACCAGCAGTTAGCATAATGGCTATGTCGCTGGACTCCCACGTAGTCGACAGTGGTTCGCATCCTGGACCCGGTGGCTTAAAGTTCACGCCGGGCGCATGAGTGCCCACGATCCCGAGAGGAGAATGGAGGAGAAGGGATTGCAGCGTGACCATCCCCCCTGGGGGGTGATTTCTCACTTTCTGTCTCTATGTCTCTCTCTGTCTGGCTGGCGAGCGCACGCGCCCTATAGCGAAAACCTCTCAAAAAAAAAAAAAGTGTGTATTCTTTACTGTGTCTGGCCCCAAGGGTGTTAAGAAGGAATTGTTCTTGGGGACAGCAGGTGGCTTGTTGGTTGAGGGTGCTGGACTCCCCTATGGCCGACTGCGGTTCGAGTCCCGGACCTGTCGGCTTGCTTGCTCTTTCTCGCTCTCTCACTCTCTCTTTCTCTCTGGTCAAATGGAAATAAATAAATAAATAAAGTGAAATTAAAAAAAATTTTTTTAAGGAATTGTTCTTGTTTTACAGAAACAGAGCTGTCTAGACTCCCTTCCTGTCATCCACATTCACTAAATGCTATGCACGGTGGTGTAGACGCCTTCTCCAGCCATGTGGATTATCTCTTACTTCCCAACTTCATTATCAGTTCTTCAGGGTGCAGGCATCTCCCGGTGGGTTTGTCCAAACACAGCTTCCTGGCTCCACCCGCAGAGTTTCCGGCTCAGAGGGCCTGGGATGGGGCTGGAGAACTTGCATGTCGGATAAATACCCGGGGGTTGCAGCTCCAGAATTAATCTAGGGGAAAGCTGTACTTTTCCTTGTACTAACCCATCAGACGGGGCGCAGGAGTGGAATTCCTCCCGATCATTGTCTTCGCCATGCATCCTCAACCTTATTCACTGTCCAGGTCCTCCTGCCTGGGTCCTAGACTCAGGGATTCTTTGTTTCCTTTTATTAGAGGAGTTTTCGCTCTCCCCTCGGCTCTGCTGATAACAGGATGGATGCAATGTCCCTCTGACCTCGTTTTAACCTGTCTCGGAACGCATCAGCGGAATGCCTCTGCCGTGACTCCAAAGCTGCTCTGTATCTGCAGCCCACGACAATCCCCGTCCCCCTTGGGGGTTCCAGATAAAATACGTTTCTGTGCACCCTCTACAAACAGGGAGGGCCGCCCTGAAGAGCATCCTTTCGGCCAGAGATGGGTCAATCGCAGCTGCACTGCACAGACGGCACCCCGAGGCCCGGAAAAGCAAGGCCACCAGATCACGCTAAGTTTGCGCTTCGGTCCCCACGGACCCTCGGACCAGGGGGCTCCCAAGGAGGCGCCTCGCACCCCGCCCCATTCCAGAAAAGCCCAGCCCGTGGATAGAAACCTCACTCTGCACCAGAATGACCACCAAGCGTTTCTGAGACTTCCCCAAGGCCGACAGACTGTCCCACCGCTGCGTCCTCACCAGGGCCTCCAGGCCCTCCCCGTCGAACCTAGGCTCCCCGGCCCCCGAAACCGAGCCGCGGAGAGCCTGGAAGCGGCGGCCCTCAAGCCCAGCGCTGAAGCTGGTTCCTCGCATTGTTCCCGACAGCAGGGGCAGGAAATAAGGCCCGGCCCCGGCGGCGGCCGCGGGCGAGGGACGCGGAGCGGTCTCCGGGCGGTCCTGGCGGCCTCCGGCGATCTCGGGTCTAAGTCCGGCCGGGCGTGACTCCAGAGGCCCTTCCCGCACTCGAGTCACATCCCTCCCCTGCCTCGGCGGTC